ATATTTAAATATTTCATGAATATATCTCGATAGATTCTTCTGAACTGAAACGGTTTGAATGGGCAGTAACCGCATAAATTTATCCAAATTCGACCGTATATTCTGGTGAGCGATAATTGCAAGAACCCACTAATGAGGATCGTCCCCGTGAAGATCCGGGTAAGAATTGATCCTTAGCAACTCTTGCTTGTCGTACGATACGACTAACGGCATCGGGTGGTCAGACTCGCCGAATTGGTTGATGCATGTCATCGTATCCCAATTGCGTAGATCGATGCTCGTGATGTCAATGTCTGTATCGTCTGGTCCATACTCGATTATATACAGACCGTCTTCATAATACTTAACCATTGCTGCGTGTGGCGTAAGCAACTAACACACACACGCAAACGTGGATCGGGTGGTTACGATGCGTTACCATGGTGATTGCGTCACTGAACCCGGTGCTGAACGCTGTTCATGCAGTCAGCAGCATGGAGAGCCCGGCCCGGAGAGCGGAAGGTCCGGAGTTCGATCCTCGGCATACCAAAAGAAGTTAAAAGATGGTACTTGTTGTTACCCTGCCTGACGCCCGGCATCAAAAGGCTAAAACAAGGACAAGGAAGTATGTATACTGTGTCACCCTCACGCAGTCAGCCATTGATTTGCTTTGCCAAGACTTAATTATTTAAAACAATATCCTCTGTAATATATTTAAGTCTAAACATGCTTCAGTCTTGTTTAAAGTCTAAAATCGCAAATTAAAACGAAAACAGGTATACTTAATATAGATTCAAAATTGGTATTGCCCTATTATTATTAAATACGCTGCCCATTAATACTCCTAATTATACCGCACCGGAAGTGTTTATATGTGTCTCTGAAACACTGCTTAATCCTACACGACTGCTTCAAATCACGAATGTTCTCGTCCCGAACTTGTGAACATACCTATTTGCACCGGCACAACCTGTGCGAGGCACATTTAAGAAAACATAACATTTTGGGCCAAATCACGAGACCTAGAAGTAAAAACTCTGCCACTTTTCAAGCAGTCATTAAACCCTTTGTTCTAGCACGTGCAGGACAACAGACAAGCACGTGCAACCATCATGCGGCGGAGTAATACAAACACGGTCCGTGAATGTCGTGAGTCTGTGCATGCCTGTCGAACGCGCGCGGTAACCCTAGAATCTTTGTACGTCTGTTTCCTGCGAGAGACTCGCCTCTCTGCAAATATTTGCCCCGCGCTGTTAGTCCGGGGCTGAGGACAGGGGGGAAAGTTCCCAAGGTTCCAAGGGCGAGGAAAGTGCCCGGATCACGGTCTTGAAGAAGTTGGTCTTCTGCTCAAGGGACGTCTTGGAGTGTGGTGGCACGGGCAAGGTATCGATTTTACTGCTTGTGGACGGGTCTTTGATGTGTCACCCATATAGGTTTAACGGTACAGTCGTGGGGCAATGTTTGCTAGTTGACAGGGGATAAATGTAAATATCTGAAAAAGTAGGGAATTAAATACTCTCTCTCTCTCTCTCTCTCTCTCTCTCTCTCTCTCTCTCTCTCTCTCTCTCTCTCTCTCTCTCTCTCTCTCTCTCTCTCTCTCTCTCTCTCTCTCTCTCTCTCTCTCTCTCTCTCTCTCTCTCTCTCTCTCTCTCTCTCTCTCTCTCTCTGGTCTAGTGATAGAGCGTCCGCCCGGAGAGCGGAAGGTTCAGGGTTTGATCCTGGTCGGCTCGGAGTCAGTATACTGGGTCTGAGTGGGGTATTCATGTTAAACTGCGGCATGGTATCGCAGTGGGCTAGCACTATAACTCGGCATCAGTGCGGACTAGTACAAGCAGACACACACAGACACACACGTGCGTGCATGCCGCTATATAAGTGCAATAATCTTGAACGCGACGTTAAACACCGTTTCACCTCACCTCTCTCCGGAGCAGGTGGACCAAGAAACCTAGATCTCGGATTCGAACCCACAACAAAAGGATCACAGCAACAATCTGAATGCACCATATTGTTTCCATATGAGTCCAAGTCAGCTGAACCTGTAAATTGATGTGTCGTGAAATAACTCAAACCTCACACACGCCACTCTATGAAAGTCTCCAATTTAGTTGAACCTGTAAATTGATTGTCGTAAAATAAAATTAAAACCTCACACACGCCGCTCTATAAAATGGGTCCACTTTAGTTGTACCTGTACACTAAAGTGTCGCACTACACACAGACATCCACAATACCAATAATTAAACAGTTTAACACCATCAACCATAATGCTTATAGCAACTTCTGAACCTATACTGAACAAATTAAATTGGGGATCAGGAATATTTTGGGGGATATTTTTTGAAGTGAAGAACACACAAATTCATAAAATTATCCCAAAACATATTCACGATCCCTAACATTTTTACTGACAATGGGCTCCAGGCTTTGAAGAAAAGTCCACTTTAAACACACTGCATAGATGATGTGTCATTTATGCGACAATATGCAACACTTGTAAGCGTATTGTCCGACTTGCCAACATCTAGCAGTAACACACACGTGGTAACGGATTATTGATAAACCACCAGTTTTATTATGAACACGAACTTCCGTTTAACCCCAATTAAAGCTCACAAACACACATGAATAACTTCTAGTTATTGTCTTGGAAAGAGACTTGACGAGGTAATTCTCTGCTTTTTATGTGTTCATGAACAAAAAAACACTTGTTTAGACTGAAAGGGGTCATCGGTCGGCGCACAAATGCTCACATTGCACGACCTAAAACATGTAACAATTCTATGTATATCCCAAAACACAAGAGAGATTTTTGGACCCAAAATCGAAAGCAGCGATCCCTAAACAGTTCCAGAAGCAAACGGAATTGGTCATTATCCGTGTTTGCTCTTGCGACAATTAAAGAAGCCCTTGAACATGAATTTAACATTTGCTACCTGAAAGACCAGTCTATGAGCATTGTATAAGAGATGTGCCTATAGATAACGTTGTTTGCCGTGACCCTAAGACTAGTCATTGATTAAACTACACACCAAAGCCTATCCGAGTCGGTGCGTGTTGAGAGCGACCTTCTACTATCAAGTGTTTACGCGTTGGAAACCGCCGTCTTTGTATCCGCCCAATGTTTCCACTAAAAAGGAAGTCCCGCTTGAATGCGACAACTCAGGTGCACAAAATTGCTGGCCAACTCTTGGCAAAGGCCGCCAGTCGCGAAACGGAAAGCTTAGAGACTATTATTCGCTGAAAAATAGCAACCAATTTTAACGGGCGGTTTGGTAGATGGTTTTCATGTGTTATATTGTCCGAGCACTCTGCCTTAGGGCAAAGGGATTGTGCTAGGGCTTGGTCTTTGAATCCAGAATTCGCCATGCAAGGCACTCCATAGGCTTGGAGACTCGACAGAAGAGCTAACCAAACATCAAGATCGTGTTTTCTCGCTCTTGCACGGGCAGGTTTTGTTTTACCTGTCAGCCGCCTAAAAAGATAATGTTTTCGTGGCTTTTCACCACTCTCCATTGCACCTAGAGCTCATCCACATTTCAAAGAGTCTCCATTTAATCCCATTATGACGACAAATCTCGCGAGATCTTTTGGACGCCGCGCACACCGTGATGAAATCAGTACTTGTCGCGAGCGGAAGCTTCTCTTTTAGACGATATCGTCGCGATAATGCAGCAATTCTAAACAAAAATAAAATTCTCTTCGCGGTCCTTTGTTTGAGCAATTACACAGAAACGGCTCGTCGGTTGTAATGGAAGGACACTCTCGCTCCCAAGGCTGAACAGTTCGCATTAGCAAACATTTTCTCACAATATACGGACAAGCTGTGCCTTTCTCTTCTTGGTATTGTTCGTACAGTCACGGAAAAATGAAAACCCCCACCCTTAACGTATATTCGTTTGCCAACAAACCATTCCTGAGAGAAATTTGAAAAGATACTGAACCAGCCATTATTCTTGTCTTGGCACGATAAAGATTGCGGATTTCATTTTACGTGCCAATTGTTTATCTACTTTTAATCGGAGAAATATCAGTCGTGTGATGTGAAAGGACATGGGGACGCTAAAGCGATACTGTTATTTCTAACCCTGTATGTGCAGATTGTTGTGTTTGTCTTAATCTTGAAGATAATGAATAGCACGTATCAACTAACGGGAAGACGTCACTGGACACTTGCAAATTTGAAGTTTATAAGTTTTGACATGTTATTTTTAATCGTTAAAGAACATGCGATGCATAATACCAATGTGAAGTCATAAAAAGCTCACACACACACACACACACACACACACACATCGATATATATATCGATGGAAACAATAACAAGAAATATATATGTATATATTTCTATCTAAAAGGCACCTTCCAAATTATAATTATATCTTTGATATTGATTCAATACGGAAAAAAATATGAGGTAAATAATTTGAAAAACAACACATGCATAGTGTGGTTTATTACTAAATGTTTGTTTTTTTTATTACTAAATATTTTGTTTCAGTATCTTGACAATACAAAATTGAACGCCCCGGTGTTTTGTATCTATTGGAAAGTCTATACTCTTTGAATGAAGTTTAAAATGAAACCTTTACTTTTCCTTACTCAAGGTATTTCGTCGATATGTTTTGTGTATTTGTATTCAACCCTTTCAACGGAGACGTTTTCAGTAATTTCCCATATTATCATATTTTCACGATCTGATAATTTTCAAATTTCTTGCTATTGTTTTCATCGATTTCAACTTTCTTAACTGTTCCGTACTGCGCACGATCGACAAAATCTATCTTTGATATGTACGCTTGAATGTGTATATTTCACAAGGAAGACAAATTCCTTTCCTTCAAAGACTGAAAATCATTAATAAAGTGACAGTTTGTCTTGGCGTGACCCAGTACGACGGCTAACAACCTGGAAACAAATTAAACCTAATAAAACCTAAATTCCATCGAATGAATAAAAAGACGGACAACAAAAGTTTTCAAGAGCGCTTGGCTAATCTTGCCTTTGTATTCTTGTCACAGATGGACGACCCGGCATGGGAAAAGTTGGACTGGAAAACATACGGACGAGGAGCGGCCTTCGGGATGAGCAAAAAATCGAAACGGAAAACAAGGCGGAAACCTGACTAACCATCAAAAGCCTGATGAACGGGAGTAATTGGTGGTTAACACTGCCGATAGTTCGACCATACAAGACAATCTGCGATTTAAGATATTTACCGACGACAAGGAAACACGGACTTTGGGGATGAAAACGAAGGCAGATTTGTCGAGGGTGAGAGGTCGGGGAGAGGATTTGGATTCTTGGTTTGGTGAATGAAAAAAGGAACTTTTAATTTGAATTCTATAGAAACAAGTCATCATAGACAGAATGGGGGATGGGGGTGGGGGTGGTTAAGGGGGGCATGGGTTTACAAACGTTGTTATGAGGACTTGAATGGTATAAAATCTGCATTCTCGAATTTAATCAAATATCCTGAAAGAACAGGGACAAGTTATTTGTTTTCCGCCAACATGATATAAGTGGTCGAATTTTTCTTGTGGGTGGTAAATAAATCGTAAAGTTGCAAGACAATACGTTTGGTTACACTGCGCTTTCAACAAATTCCCACACAATAATAAAATGTTGTTCTGGATATGTAATTTGTATTCCAATCTGCTGACACTGACGACTGATATCCTGTAACGCTATATTGAATAAATCGACCCTTCATTAAATAAAGACGATTTTGTTATGAAATGTATTTTTCTCATGCCAAACGTTTTTGGCCATTGTCACACTCCTAAATACCACGACAAAAGTATATTCCAATAGCCCATGTTCTTTTATGAGAAACCACAATAAGTAGTCCTTGTAATGATGTTTTTAATGAATCTTTCGCTGATAAGTTGATTCATCACACACACACACACACACACACACACACACACACACACACACACACACACACAGAGGACTCATTGAGCGATATGTCTTGGACAAATGTTAATCAAAACGACACGAAAATAGTTTTCAAAATTGCACACAGAAAGAAAACATATAGTTTAAGTTTTCGATAAAATACTTGGGGAGAAAAGATCTGTGTTTAAATTTTAATAAATGCATGAAGTATGACTTTTGCATACATATTTATAGATATCAAAATCACTTGTATATTAATAATTAGAATCACTATTTCGTCATTTGAAACAATAACTAGACATTTGAATTATGTATTACTTATGACTAAAGGTTTGCGCCATATCAGCATTTATATATCTAGTTGACAAACAAACCCTACTTGAACACTATTAGCTTTATATCATATAAACGAAAAGCACGCCCTAATAAATAAATATTAATCACATTTCATAACAACAATACTAAACTATTAATTTACATTTTTGTAATAAGAAACTAATTTCGACACCCTTTATTCGTTATCTCAAAATCAGACATCCGCGGTCTGTGGTACCACGCCCTTGGGAGAGAGTAACAAACTCATTTTCTCAAACCCGATCCTCAAGACGGAAAGCCTTGAATCATTACTCTGTCCTGCCTGCTGGTATTTATCAATATGATAATCCGTGCCGTCAAGCTAAGGTGAAAGAAATCCCTGTCTTAGCTTCCCTGAAACCAGATGATCAAGATATTCGAGACGGCGTTAGGGAACGACCACGATAACTTACTATGCACGCTCCCGTAGTCCTGCGAACTGGGCTGCCTTTCCGATTCCCTAAGCCGTTCACCTTCCCCATTGTTAATTTCGTAGGAAAACAAACCTCAGTGATTATGAAAAAGAAATTTGATCGCATGTAGATAAATCGTCCGAGGTTCTCAATTATGCCCTCATAGGCATGTAGAGGTAGGCTTTTAATCTTAACAACGCCCTCAGCATTAGATATAATATTAATTGAAATTCCTCTTATTTAGTCTGTGAGTCTTTGACTGGTCACTTGATGTAGTATTCGTTGAAATTCCTTTTATGTAGTTTGTGAATCTTTACTTTTTACAGTTATCTTGTACTCAAGATATAGTTAAGTTTGTTCAGCTTTCTTAGCAATCAAGTCTTTGAAAGGCATTTAGAAGTGATACACATAAGGAAGAGAATTTATGGATGTCAATTTCTTTATTATGAGGATTACAACGTTTCGGGGTTTATGCTTACTCCTTCATTCACCTTATGAAGTAAGCATCTTCCCTTTAATGTAATGGGTTTTTTTAAAGTTTCTATTTTGTACACATTTATAAACTATATACAAGAAGTACGAATATTACATATAAAGAGATAATTATTAAATACGAAAGGTACGTTTAATAACCTTTTAATTCTAAACAAAACTTCACATTTGAAATGTGCATTACTTATTGATATAAGCTTGTACAAGATAAACATTTAGATACATAATTGATAACACTTATTTGAACACAATTTACTTTATCGAAACATTTTATCCCAATCGCTTATTCCTTATGGAGGAACTTATTTCTATATAGTACATTTATGTTTTTCAAAATGGAAGTTTTGCAACTTCGTTTTTCACTTCTTGTGAAATCTATCAGCCACGAATGTAACATTTTTTTTCTGAACAGCGTAAATGTATTAGCTTTAAATCATTTACAGTGAAACCCAGCTTATCCGGAAACTTCATATTCCGGACGGTTTTTAACTGGAACATCTGTATGGAGACAAAGAAACAATACTTTGCATCCGTGATTTGTTAAACCGTACATTTGCTAATCCGGACAGTTAGTTTGGGAACGGAGTTTTACTGTACACGCAAAAAACGAATATCATACTGAACTATTTGTTTCGTCGGAATGTTAAATATGCCTCTGTTGGTATTCAACACATCCAGGATAAAATAACGATAAAAGTAAATTTCTGACATTTTTCTTAGAAGTTTAATCCTCTTGAACCTTGCCAAAAATTACAAAATCGTCTAAACGAGCTTATTTTATATATAATGGAATTTAAATCTGCCTATATATCACACCTATGTATCGTTGATACTCTCAGGTAAGAATCAAGACTCGCACATATCTGGAGTCCACAAACGCCACGCCGATAAAAACGCCATCAGTCTCATAAGTAATGCATATTCTTTTGCGCCTGTGTGTGAATTAAGAGGCACGGAAAATCTCACAGCTTGTGCGGATGAAATATGTATGACCTCGACTGGTGTATATTTGTCAGACAAAAGAGATATTGTATATTTATGTGATTCCGGTGCCAAATCTTCATCGTGACGTTTCCCCTTTTGGTATAAGCCGACGTGAGCCTGTTTATCTGATTTTTTAAATTTCAGAGATAAATTTGAGCTAAATAATACACAGTGTTATCATACGTTCTGTTACTAAAACATCGGCTGTATATCTACTTAACGTTTGACAGATATGCGGTCTCTTGAGAGTTGTCAAGAAGCGATTTCACAGAGTTTAAATAACCTTTCAGTGGAGTAATATTGAAAATAAATAAAACGTTACGATGACATAAATGCATTTATTTAAAGTTCGTGTCTTTCAAATCTCCTAATTCTTTCTTATACATTTTTTTCTGCTTTTCGTTAATTTATGCAAACTACGCGGTCAGTTTCTTTTAAGGGGGAAGATGCAGATAGCTTAACATAATATGGTATCTCGCATCATGCGTGTGTGTACAGGCGTATAGCACACAACGCAGCAGTGTGTGTTGTCAACTCAACGTGCAAATGGTATATGTGTATCTATATCTAGTAGGTCGTTTCCTTAAGGCCAGAACAATATAAACTAAACTTTGTTTTCCACTCGAAATATTTGTCCTTTTTTATCCTAAAACAGGAGATTGTTTTGTTAATTAACGTTATTCCCAGAAACAAGTAACATTTTCTGCCTATGCTTTGTCGAAAATGGCTGGGAAAGTGTTTTAAGCGTCAAGAACATGACAAACAGACGAGGTATAATCTAGAACAAATAAAGTGCAATAATATGAATGATATTTGATTATTATCCGTTTGAGCACTTCATGTATTAACATCAGCAACAAATGTATTAAATCGTTTAGTTTTCGAACGAAAAAGAAGTCTGTGTCTAAGGGCAACACGGGTGGTCCTGTCGTGCAGCGCCGAATTCGGTATGCAGAGTTACGTCCCTTTGTCAAGCCAAATCAGCTATGAACTTGTGTTCGAATCCCAGATTCACTCTGATTATGTTGCTCGATCTGTCAGCACCAGACCCGTCCTTGTGGGGTTCAGCAAAGTGGTCAATGTCTAACACCCACATCCCATCGAGCTTTCCTACCACATTAAGCTGACACACCTGTATAACTGAAATACTGAAACACTTAAACCAAACTTACCCCTTCCTTTCACACTTACATCTCGGTAATCTAGATATTAAAAGGCAGGTGAATGCGTAAGTGACTGTTATTAAACGTCATAATCACGGCGACCTCTAAATGTTCGAGTCTGGATCAGACAAACCAGTGACTGAAACACGAGCAACGACCGACACCATCGAGTCACGATGGCTATCAATCAAACAAAATCCGAGCTTGACCATCCGATCCCATTTAACGGCTTCTTACAACCAACATGGGGGTACCAGAGTTCTATTCTGTATTCTGACCTGGAAACCCCACCCCACCCCCACCCCACCATCCCCCCGCCTCCCCACCCCATCCCCACCTGCCATTTCACACAGGAAGATTAAATATTTCTGAAAAATCGAAGCAAACAAAAATAAACATAGTGTTGGGTTTCCGAGGTAACGTGGTCCCACTGCATATTGTACCGTATCACCGGGTCCAATACTCGGAAAACAAATATATAGTGAACATGAAAGAAACGTTTTTTTGCTGACCCAGGTACAGTGCAAACACATCAATGTCAACGGATGAACATGTAACTTCAAACAAAGCGTTTTTCATAAATGAAGACTAGTAAATATAGTCTCCTAGCACGGTAACTTTGTATATGGCATAACGCTTTGTATGTCAACAGAGGCGCAATAAATAAAAATATATATCCCGGTCGTCATGTCCTCAATTCAATTGTACGGTTATGCGATAAAATATTTATTCTCTTGAAATGTTTCTCTTTGTGGTATTTGTAATATGTGTTCAGTCCGTGTGTTCTAGCAACTGTTCACATTCGATAAATATAACATCATCCTATCCGATGAAATTTGTTTTGTATTGTTTAAATTGTCGGTTTGATTAACGAAATTGGAATTGTTTTTTATGTCTTTAGAAGAATTGTAATGTAATTGTATTGTAATACTGATTCAGTGCTGTAAGTGAATGAATGTTGTTAAACGCAAACCAGTGTCCAGTGAACATATACACTCTTCAAAACAAGAAACGCACAGGTAGTATGTAGTTTTAGTATTGAACCTGACTACACAAAAAATCCGGTATGTAAATTGGATATATGTTATTAGAAATTGTTGGTGGTCTGATATTCGACAAACGGAGCGTCAAAACGCAGCCATTGTCGATTTGCAATGTATTAAACGGCATTGTTTTTACACTTGTTAAAAAATGTCACGGAGGAAAACAGTAAAACAAAATGCACGTGTAAGTTATGGCATTCGTAACTCGTTGTAGTGGCTATGAAAAGGCAAACATAAGCCAATAATTTGTCATTCAATTGTCAACATTTTTCAAGTTCGAAAATGCCAAGACTCGGAACATCGCCATAGGACGTATCCAAAGAAGGGAATCGCAGTCTTCTGTTGCACGCCGCTTCAACGTCCACCACAGC